ACTCAATTCAACTAAATTTATGTATTGTTTGGCCACTTTATGGTACAGACTATGCTATATGTTGGAGACATAGAGAAAAATAAAAACATACTTCCTGACCTCATACCTTCCTGACCTAGTTAACAGTACTAGGAGCCAGGAGTGGGGAGGGTAGATACAAGAAATCAAAAGTGAACCTACAACTATCATATAAAGAGATAGTGTCTCTAACATAAGGCTGTGGAAGGTACTATAGGACCATAGAAAAGAGACACTAACTCAGTTGGGGTGGGAGTGGGATGGGAAATGGATAAGGGAAGATTTCTAAGAGGATGCAATTCTTGACATACAACTGAGCCCTTCAGGTGATCAGGACCACAAGTGTATGTGGAAGACTCTTGGAGGAAGAGAGATTCGCACCAAAGTAAGGGAGCAATGGAATCCTTCTCCTGGAGTTTGAGGAGATCAATCAGTTGCTAGAATTGCATTGGAACTAAATGAAGTTTTAGTTCCCCAGCTCTCTTCAAGTCTCTGTGAGGTCACTTGTATGTCTGTTCTTGGGTTTCTGGGTGGTTATTTTGGATTTCCCCAAGGCCTGGACAATAATCTGTTCTTCCTCATTTGTCCCTCCTCACTCTGGAGCTCCACCAGAAAATCTACTCACTTCCTATCAACCCCTAGGCCAATTGTTCGTACCATCCCTAAGCAACTATTTTCTCTTGTGTAAGCCTCTCAGCTTTTCTCCTCAGTTTCTGCTTACTTATTGCCTCTACTGGTTGCTGTTGACTACTGGTTTCTGAAGTTGGCCTTCTCTTGTGTGTCTTTCAGCTACTCTTTTACTGCCACTGCCTAACCTTCTCTCTCTATTATATTTATTTTCCAAGAAAGGAATCAATTTGTTAATTAATTGCTAACATCTTCGTTAGGCAAATCTCTTCTATTCAGCCAACTCCTGAGTCCCTGTCTAGCCAGGGGATTGGTTGCCTTGTGTTGGATGCTGAGCCCCATTCCAACCAGAGGCCCAAGGTTACAAGTGACAAGGATGGAGGCTTACATCAATAGAGCCCTTTAGAAGGCAGCTAGGGAGGCAGCCTTCGAGGGGCCATGGATATGGCAGACAACCTGAGGCTTGGCTGACTGAGGAGAATGACACTGCAGACACAGTAGAGGCACTATAAATGGAACAACCAAAAAACATGAAAACCATACTAATACCAAACACAATACTCCCTTGGCATAACTTCAGGTGATAGTAGGGGAAAAAAAGGATGAAGAAAAATAGAAAGTTCCTGGGAATAAGTGTATTTATGTACATGAAAGAGCACAGAAAATAAATGTATCCAAGGAAAGGAGACAAAATGACCTACTTCACAGGAAATGATCTTTCCTGAGGTCCATAAGAAAAAAGTCCAAAGATTTCTTTCTCTTCTCAAGGGATGACATAAAGAGTGTAGCGAATGTTATGGTTAGTTTTATGTGTTAACTTGGCTAGGCTAATGTACCCAGTTATTCAATTAAACACTACCCTAGGTGTTGCTGTGAAGGTATTCTGTAAATGTGGTTAACTTCTTCAGTCAGTTGCAGTCAAGGAGGTTATCCTTGATAATCTAGATGAGCTCCATCCAATCAGGTGAAAGGCCTTAAGAGCAAAAACTGAGATTTTCCTGAGGAAGAAGAAATTCTATCTATGGACTGCAGGGTCCATTCCTGCCCAAGAGTTCCTAACCTGCTGGCCTGTTGGCCTGCCTTACAGATTTTGGACTTGTCATCCCCCACGATCATGTAAGCCAAATTCCTCTAAATTATAATAAAATAATTACTTATTATGATACATATATAATCATAATAAATAGTATAATAAATTATATCATAATTAAAAAATACATATATATCTTCTTCTGGTGGTTCTCTGGTAGATCCCTGCCTTACACAGTGAATACGGAAGCACAGACTTGGAATTTGGTACCCCATGTAACCTTTATCATCAGCTGTTCTCCCCAGTTAGGCCAGTCTCCTGTGTCTCTTCACATGCATGCTCAGTTTTCCGCTTCTGTTCACACGGCTTTTCCCTTCTGACTGGTCTCTACTCCTTCTTCCACCTTTATAAACTCCTTCCCTTTCCTTACTCGCTAGCTCGATCCCAAGTCCCCCATGAAGCCGCCTATTACTTTAGCTGCTTTTGCTCTTTTCTTTCTCTAAACTCCCTCAGTAGTTGTTAGCTGTGCCATTCACTGTGATTCCTAATCTTACATATCTCACATAACACTGTTATGTATACACTATCCACCATTGGTAAGTATAAATTTGGGTGTGCAAGAAATGTCAAATTTATTTATTTTGTTTAAATCAAATTTAATTCACCCCAGTCTTAAGTGATCCCAGCTTTAATTCTGCCGGAGTCGAAGGAAACCCAATCCCCAGGCCTCCCTCCCTTTCTCCCTAGGAGTGCACTGGAGTCTGGAAGATTTATGTGGAACCTACAAAATAGTGGAAGATGGACTTTGACATCCTCATTGTTCAAGGGTATATGGTCCCTAGAAGCCAGGCAACTCCTCTACTCATGGACCAAGAGTGGCAGAGGGATCAGCCTCCCTTGGGTCATCATGCATCCATCTGAGGTTTGGATATCTCTTGAGGTGCTTCTAGAAAGCAAGGCTCATGTCCCCACTACTGGAACCCTGACCTTTGACTCCTTTCCAGGCTGGAGGAATTTTTTTCTTTTTCTACAATTCCACCGGCTCACAACCCCTCCTTCTTTCTCTTTCTTTCCCTTGCTCTCCAGATGCCCTCACCTTTTTAAACTTCTGGCAAAATCTCCTCAAGGAGCAGGAACCTGGAAGGCAAATTCCTGGGCACAACTCCAGGGATAACATTGACAGTGCATTCTAAGAAGTTGTGGTCCAGGAGGCCTCATTTACAGCGTGAGTGGTGCCCCCTGAAGTTGTCCAACAGAGAATTCCTGTCAGACAACTTCTTTCTGCCTAGGAATACAAAACTCCCTTGAAGCCTGTCTGGAATGGAGGGGAGGGAAAATATAAGGAGAACATAAACCAAATTAATAGCGTAATAAATTATGCTGTCACACACTTATTTTTTTATTTGTTTGCCCCCTGTATTTTTACTTCACTTTTAAAAATATGTGTGGGCTGACACATCTAGTGTTTCAATTAGACTAAGAACTTCTTGAAGATTAGAACAATACCGTATTTACCACATTTTTAAATCTTTCTGAGATCCAAGATACTGATTTGTGCATAATAAGATACTTAAATGTGCCTTGAAATGTAGTGACGAATGATCAAGTTTGTGGGTGTCTGATGGGGCTCCACCAGTTCAGACTGCACTGGCACTGACTTCCTCATTGTAGGATTGGCTCCAGTGTCCTTTCATTGTCACTTTTAGGGTTAGGTAAATATGCCTTTTCTTTACCTCCTTCTGTTCACAGCTATTGCTGGGCTGAATTTCCAAGATATCAAATTTCTACTTAGGACCTTTCTGGCCCCATGTAAAAGTAAACACTTCCTTTAAAATTCAGACAGATGATATTATCTTGAACCTTCTTTAATCTAAAGAGAATTGCAGGTTACAACATAAACATGCATATGGTAACAACAGTGGAAAATTTCTAACTGAAATCAAAGCAGTACCTGGCATTCATTTTCATAATGCCTTTCACTTGAAGAGCCAAGTACATTATGAGAACTTGATCCCATTAATCCTTAGAGATAAGTAAAGGGACCTGAAAGAATGGCTTGTACAGATAGAGTCACACAGCCAGGTAGTGACAGTGTTGTTAACAGCCTGCTGCCTTGCCCAATATTTGAATAGTCAGGTTATTTTGCCTTAAGAAACCATTGTTTCAATGACATAATGGAATATTTGTGCTCTAATGGGAGAATTCACACGTTCATATCGTATGTTAGTAAGTATGGCATTGAGAAAATATATTCAGATTTGCCAATATGCACTGGGTTTTGAACCCTCCAACCGCCCTCTTCTGTATGCTTGTTTCCTCTTTACTGTCCCCCTCACCTCTCCCTCAGCCTCCTTCTTTCTAATGCTCTGAAAAGACTGAAAACTCAATTAGCTTGCAGCATTGGAACTCAACACATCAGCTCCTCTGGGACTACATGCATTTTGAAAGACAACAGCTTAGCCCAAAGAAATTAACCATCACTTTCTGGTATGGAGAAAGATTTTTTGGAAATGGGAAGCCTTTCTTCCCTGTTCCCTCAAATAATAACATGTAGGTGATTACATATTCTACTTTCAGCCCCTAGAGGGAAAAGTCTACAATGGAAGAAGGAAGGGAAAGCAATGATCAAAGGGAAAGAGGATGAGGGAATACTTTGTTTTTATTTTTAAGGGGGGGGGGGGCGGGGGAAGGAGAATAGGGTAGAATCTTATCTTTTCCATATCTGTAAACCACCATAATTTGTGGAAATAAAATGTACACTCTAAGCACTTAACCAATATTTACCACTGATGAGACCTATTTTAGGCCTCGTCTTTTGTCAGAACAGTCATAACTAATAACGTAGAGCAACATTTTGTAAACGGGCTTGTGCTTCCCCCACCTCCTTTCCCTCCCCTGTACACTGCATTAAGGATCCGAGCACAGAGCTAACACTGGGCTATGCATTATTCTCTCATCCTATGCGCCCTTTCATGGCTTCACACCAGTGCTCATGCTGTTCCTTGACCCGAAATCCTCTTCCCTCACTGCTCTGCCTACTGAACTTCTATTCATCCAATGAGACTCAATTCAAATGCCAGCCAAGAGGCCTTCTCCAAACATTTCCTTGACCCTGAGCACGACCAATCCCTCCCTCCACTATGACTCCACAGCATTAGGAGGCATGATTCTATTTTAGAACTCATCATCTTGTATAATTAATATATATTATGTGTCTCTGCTCCCAAGAATGTAAACTACTTCAAGCTGAGACAAGGTCTTATTCATTTAATTAATTAATTAATTTATATTTTCTGTCTCCAATACTATTATGTATCAGGCAGGATAAATATATTATAAATGCATATGCTACAGTCTGGACAGTATAAAAGTTTACAGTTTCATAAAGGAGACAAGGTTCACAGACATAAGAGAGCAAGATGATATAATATACTGGGCTAAGAAATTTAAGGTTAGGTAACTACTGAATTCAAAAAATATTTGCTAAACACCTAGGAGTAAGGAATTGTGTCCCAGGACTACTAGGATAAATAAAACATAGTTACTACTTTTGAGGTGCTCACAATCTGCCTTGTATATTGTCTTTATAGTGTAAAGGACTTCCATGGTTTAGATATCACTTTACATATTGTTCCTCACAACCCAGTGAGGTAGGTCATCATTTTCATCTTTATAGGCATGGAAACAGAGGGTTTGAATTCCCAGGTCTTCCGATTCCGAGACCACTCTTTCTTCCCCACTACATCAGTGTTTCTCAAAATTTTCCACTGGAGTACACTTTCAGAGAGAACAGACTTATACTCCTCAGGGTTGGGAAATACAAGTTCAAAATCTAACGTGTTATCTTAAAAATTCGTGTTTAGTTTAATGTTTTCCACTACTCACTGAATCAAACGGAAGGTCTGAGAAAATGAGCCACCTTGACTCTGGGTCCTCAGTACAGGGTTTCACAACAGAGGCTTCACATACCGTTTGAGAAGCACAGGGCTACTCTGCAGCTTTTACTCGGGGTGTCTGGGTTTAGCTTGAGTCCCCACTCAAGATTTTGGGTAACTTTACCAGGTTTCTTTTAGGTTTCTAGTAGCGTAATGTTATTCACAACCCTCTCTGAAGACTGTCATAAAAGTCCCAGATGTTCAGTGAGCAGTGGGGGCTGACCTTTCCTTCCCTGCAAGGATGTCTCATTCTGGCAATAAGGTCTCTTCAGTCTGATACTATCTGCCACCCTTCTCACAGCTAGCTGAACCTAAGAGTTCCAGACGTCTCCTCCAACCGCCTGCTGGTCTTTGAAGGCCCCAAAGGCTCAACAATGCCCTCTCTCAGCACCGCCTCTAGAGGGCAGCTCAGGGTTGCAGCTCTGCTGAGCCCTCTAGTGGCGTCTGGGGTAATATGGCTGCTCTTTTCTGGAACCTATAAAAAACTCTGAAAAGTTGCACTCGGGAAGCCAGGCCGTGTGACACCGGTAGCGAACTTTTTAAGAAACGTCTTGGTTCTCAGCTTCCTTTTCTTAAGGCCTTTGTCAGGTCTCAGATGCATTGCCTTTCTTGGATGAACCTCCCACTCCCTAGGATCTCCCCCTTCCCAGGGCGTGGCAACGTGGAGCCATCATTCTCTCTTGGCGAGGTAAAAAATTAGAACGTGGACTTGGCAACTTTCCTCAATGTCTTTCCTTCCTTCATCTGCCCCATGGATATAGAGGTTATATATATATTCAGGATTTTTTTCAGTATAATCTTATTTTCAGCATGGCTTGCAGGCTCTGGAATTAGACTTCCAGAATTCAAATCCCAGCTCCCTCATTCACTAATTGGGTAACTTTAAGAAAGTTACTTAATCTCTCTAAGCTTCTGTTTCATCTGTAAAATAGGGAGAATAATAGTAGCTACATTATACAATTTGGGGAGGGGCAACTATGATAATGTATGGAAAGTGCTAGGTCTGGCATAGGAAAGTGTTCAACAAACGCTAGCTATTTTTATTCTTCAAAGCTTCTATCTAGTGCACACCATGTCTATTAATTTGGTACAGAAAAATACTGTCTTTCCATAGGACAGACACAAGAGTACATATGCAGAATGAATTCATAAACATCTTATATTTTCCTAAAGTGGCTAAGCTAATAGTGACCTTAGGTTCTAGAAAAGGGGGTTCGTTTGTGTGATACAATCAGTGCAATGGGTGCTCAGAGCATAAAGGAATGCAAGAGGCCTGGGATCCTCATGGAGGAGCTTTTGTTTTGCACACAGGTGCCCTTCTTCCCTCCCTCGCCCCCTTCCCCCACCATGTGTAAGCATTCAGGGTGAATCTGGGAGTGGAGTCTGTGGGCCAGGCCTGAGGGCACAGAGGTGCAAAAGAGTTCCTGGCCAAGGCAGGGAAGTGAGCACTCCAAAGGCCAGGAAGCCCAAGCCAATCAGATTCCCCACCCACGAGGAGTCTAAAAGGTGGCAGAGCCTCACAGCCCAAAGTCCAAGTACAGCAGGAAAGTGGCCAGGGAATCGGACAGGTAGAAACCTGATAGGAACTCAGAAAAGTTAAAACCGAAGAGCTCCTAACACCCACAGCCAGAGAAAGGTCAGTGTGAGCGGAGCAGTTGTTCTATCTAGTGCCAGAGGCCTTGGCTGTTGTCTTCTACACCCAGGCTGTTTAGGCCTCCCTGATCAGCCCCACCTAGAAAAGCCAATTCTTCAGCTCTTAAAGGGGACTTGCTTGCTTGTGGCAGGGAGTCGTACTCTTGTGGGCAAAGCTCTCTCTTAAGAATGGGGGGTGGGGGGTGGGGGGTGGAGAGAGCGTCCAAGGGTTCAACTGGCTCCAAAGGAAGAAGCTTGAGGTTGGAGCCTGAGCCTCCACGTTGAGAGAACCACACGCGTTTCTTTCAGAGGCAAGCAGGGGCCTTGGCTGCCAGGGACCCTGACAAGCCGCGACTTGAGCTGTGCCTTAGAGCCTAGGTTGGCTTGAGAGCGGTATAGAGGAGGGAGGGCATTCCTGGAAAGGGGGTGGGGTGGGGAGGTGAGGGGAACAGCATGAGCAAAGGCACGAAGGAAGAATGAATCTGCTGCGCGTTGAGAATGGCATGGAGACTTCACTGATTGGAGCCGGGAGTTCTTGCAGGGGGATGGAGGCAGCTATGATTGGATAGCTAAAGTGGGGCCAGATTTGGAGGGCTTTGAATGCCCGACTGAGGAGCTTACTCAACCCAGCTCCTGACTTGCGATTTCCGTTCAAGACTGAATTACCTAAAGGGTGGTTAATTCCAACGGGTGTTCTACTTTGGGGGCTTCTGAAAAGTCAGCTTATCCTCTTACCTGCTTCCATTCTCTTCATTCACCCAGGGAGAAAGTAATCCTCACTTGTCGAGGGGAGGGAGGATAATGTTGATTAATTTCACTTCACTTGCATTGAAGATGCAAAAAAAAAAATCCCATTTCCACGCCAAATATTAAATTTGGTTTCTCCTCCTCCTGCTCCTCCTCACGCAAGTTCTCTTTCTCTCGCCAGCACCTCCCCCACGTTTTCCTGCTCTCCTCCACCAGCTGGGCTAGTCCCCTCCTCAGCCCTGGCGGCGCGCGTTCTGGGTCCGGCTGGCCCGCGCCCGCCCTCCGCACCCGTGCGCCCCCCTCCCGGCCCCCCGCGCCCGCGCCGGTAACCCTCACACACGGGTCCACGCCCCCCCCAGCCGAGCGGTAGGTGTTTGCCGTCTGCGCCGGGCCGCAGTGCGGCTGCGCGCACTCGTCTGCCTCCGGGGCTGGCAGGGCAGCGGCGGCCGCGGCGGCGGCGGCGGCGGCGGCGGCGGCGTGGGGAGTGGCGTGGAGCCGAGCCTGGGGCTGCAGCAGCGCGGGGCCCCCGGAGTAGAAAGCCCCGGGGGCAAGAAAGGAAGGCCGGACCGCGGAGTCCCTGAGCAACTGTTCTCCTCGGATCGGGGGGGAGCCTTGCCCCCGCAGCTCGTCTTCAGACGCCCCCTCCTCACCCCCCAGCCCCGGCCGCTGACGGGAGGAGGCGGCGACGGCGGCGGGGGGCTGAGGGGCGCCGCCATGCCTCTCCCGCGGTGAAGCGCCCCGGCCGCGAGGAGCCACTCGGTTTCCCCGGTGATGTCCCCCAGGCGGCAGGCGAAAGCGACTCACTCGAGCCCTGGGGTAAAGGCCTAGCTTATCCAGCTTCCTTCCTCCTCCTCCTCCTCTTCCCCTCCCCCCTCCTCCTCCTCCTCTCCCCCTTCGTCCTCCCCTCCCCGTCTCTTCCCTCACCCTTCCCCGCGCCCCCATCTTCCCTCCCTCCCTCCCACCCCTCCAGCAGCGATGGCAGAGGAACAACAACAGCCGCCACCACAGCAGCCTGATGCCCATCAGCAGCTTCCCCCCAGCGCCCCCAACTCGGGGGTGGCTCTGCCAGCCCTTGTGCCTGGGCTGCCAGGGACAGAGGCCAGCGCGCTGCAACACGAGATCAAGAACTCCATCTGGTAAGAAGATCCTCCATCGCTGGGGTGAAAAAGCCCAGGCACATTTCTGCTGCAAAGGGGGTGGGGGGCGGCGGGCGGGGGAGCGGAGGAGGAGGCTGATGCATTCATTGAATGTGGGTATCCAGAGTCGGGTGCATATTTATAGGACCCCTGGAGGTGCGGGGAATTCGCATCAGCCCCCGGTCTCCATAGCCAAAAAATGCTTTTACCCCCTCCTCAATTGTGAGTGCAGATAAACAAGTTATTTGTGTTTTTCATTTATGTGTAAGAGGAATATGGGTCGAAATTAAGTCATATTGCATGATGGTGGCATGAATTTGGGACTGAGGAATGCGAAATGTGTTTACTCCTTTTTGCATTCATACAGGGAGGAAGAAGTGTATTGTGAATTTTCACCAAACAGACATTGTGCGTAAGAATATTAATATGCAGCACAAAACCTAATGTGTCTCTTCCTTTCAGTTGGTTTAGCTGCTGTTTCTGGATGTTTTTGCCTTTTTTCTGAAATTAAATTTCTCTTCCAGGGAGTTTATTCTTTGCATTGATGGTAAAGGAGGGTTTCTTTCGTGTAAGATATTTTAAGGTGATAGTTTACACTGTAAAGTGATTTTTTTAATTTAAAAAGATGTCTGTAATTTAAAATAAATGTCTTGCCATTTCGTGTATCTTTTTTTAGAGGACATAGATGAAATATCCTTTGCTATTCCGGTACTCTCTTGAAGGAGAATTTCCAATATTTCAGCATTAGATTAAACTCTGAAAGACTGGGGGCAGTCTGGCAGTCTTTTAATAATTAAATACACTGAGTTAAGTCTATCCTCTGTTAGAAGCATTGCAAATATTCTTTGAACATGAACTTGCATTATTTTTGTAGGATTTTTCATTAACTGACATTTTTTAAAAAGTGTAGTGTTCTTTTAAAAATGGAAAGCAATATTAGGAATTTGGTCTAAGAGACTACTTTTAATAGAAGTTTAAAAATAGAATTAAATGTGGTATAAAAAAAGCTCTAATTTTAAAAATGAGATCTTGCATGTCCATCATTGAATATGGCTACTAAAATATCAAAACTCCTTGCTTTTATATTGCAATTTAAAAATAAATATATCATAAAACAGCTGGTGTTGCAGTATAGTATTTACACAGTTAAAAAGTGACAATTTTTAAATACAAAATTAAGGTTTGTTATATAGTAATTTTCATTAGTTTCTTGGCATACATCCATATTGTCATGATGCTAATATGAAGTAGGTCAGTGCAGGCTTTAATAGTTTCTTACTACACAGTAGTTGGCAGCTGAGTATCTTGCTTTCAGTTTTAATTTTAAAATGAAATTTAAATATTTTAAAGGAGAATTTTTTTGACTTTGACAGTAGTCATGTTGTGGCAACTTGAATAGGTCAGATAAATAGGATTGTCGTGTGTGTGTGTGTGTGTGTGTGTGTGTGTGTGAGAGAGAGAGAGAGAGAGAGAGAGAGAGAGAGAGAGAGAGAAGGCTTTATTTTTTGATGGATACCCTCACTCCCTTTTTAAGCTGTAATTTAAAGTAAGAGATGGTTAATCTCCAGCTTGCCATCAAGGTTTCCAGAAACCAGAGTGGGTTTTTTTCCCCTAACTTGATGTAACTTGGTGTCTCTGAAACCATCATTAAATTGAATTAAGCACCTTGATTTTTACATTGAGATAAGATTCATCCAAGTTGAAGGACTAAAATCTTTTAAGAAGGGCAAATTAAGAAAGTTGAATTAGTAATGTATATTTTATTTTGAGAACAATAGAGGAGAGGAACCTTCACTTTATATTTTAAAAATAAGAGTGAATTGTATAGGCAACTGACTGAAGTGTTTGAATAATAATGGTAGTGGAGCCCTCTTTTTGGTAAATCTTATGATTTGATTATTCTTTCATTGGTAATTTATATTTACACGTCCATTACAACTTAACTGCACTGACTTTAATGTGAGAAAAACTTATGCTGAAGTAGAGTGCACTTCAGTTTTTGGTACTTGCTCTGAAAAATAATGGGCAGAAACACCCTGATCCCCAAATGTACAATTTTACATCTTTATTTTAAAATTTAATGGCACACTTACTAGCATTTAATTTTCAACTTTAGAAATCCTATTTGCTAAAGTGATTCCTTTATATTATATTTAAAACTTTAGAATAGTAGATATAGTTAATATATAGTTTCATATCCCCTGGTCCACAAGACTGTTTTTACATTCATCAAGTGACTGTGTGAAATAAAGACATTAAAAAGTGAAAGCTCCTTCACTACCATCTCCTCCTAAGAAATAGTGTGTGTGTGTGTGTGTGTGTTTGTATATATATAGATATATATATGTTAAAATCATTTTTAGTACGTAAAATTGCAATTCTTAAAGTATCTCATTTTTTTGAGGCACCAGTATCTTTTTACCAATTATTTTATCACCTGATAATGTTCTGAGGGATTATCAGTTTTGTACTCCTTCCTGTATCAACCTTTGGCAGCATTACTAATCAGAATTTAAAATTACATTAAACAGAAATGTGGCATTTAAAAATTATCAAATGGGTTTTGCATTTAGATCACAGTTTTAAATTATTGGACTTGCAGATCACAAACAAGTCTGTACTTGTCTTCCTATTCTACAAATATAAATATAGTGTGTGATGTAGGCCTTTAGCTGGACAATGAGTTATTTATTATCTCAATTCATAATTAATTTATTCTGTTTATTAAGCTAAATTGCTGTTTGCTAGAAGTATGTTCATGGTAATTTCAAGCATTGAATGAGTCTGAAAAAAAGATTAAGTATTCAAAGTTGAAATCATGGTACTTAGATGAGATCAGAAACTGTTTCTTAAGAATTAGAAATATAATGTTTTTTTAAGGTAGTTCTAGAAAGTAAAGATACTGCTGACTTGATAGTGTTGTAATATTTGTGTAATATACTTATGAATATCTTCATCTACAGTCCAAATTAACAAGCCTGCACCTTTCTTGACCTTCCTCATTCCCACCCTGTAGACAAAGGTCCGAATCACTTACACTACTCACTTGAAAGGAGATTTATTGGCAGAGGTGTGTTTTAGTACTCAATATGCTGTAAGGATGTTGTTTATATTTTCTAAAAAGCAGAACCCTAATATAAACTTCATTTAAAAAGAAAAAACTAGTAGCCTGTGTCTTTTTTCTACCTGGAGGCTCATACTCAAACCTGAAACAAAGCCACAAACTAACCTTGCTGCAAACTCCTTTAACTTCCATTGCACCCCTCTTTGGTTGCCTAAAGAATATCAGAGCAAGTTTTTTCCTTCCTCTTATCTCCCATGAACTATCTTCATAGTTTTTTAAAAAATGAAAATTTGTATGTAGTTTACACAAAAAATTTACTAAGTGCTTTTCTTTTTCTTTTTAAAAAGCAGTTTTACTTGAAACCTGATAAAATAAAATTGCTATGGAAAAAACAGGATAGAAAAAATTACATTTGAGATCTCTTCTGCCTGTTTGTGGTAGTTATGTTTGAGAATAATCATGCCTACATGGATGGGAGTGATTAACATATTTGTAATTAGTCTGTCACATAGACAACAAACCTTTGCCTAGGAATTCAAAAGAAACTCTGATGTTTTATTGTAGAAAACGTTCTAATACTGTATTTACTTAGCAGATTCAGGGATTCTTAAAAGAATTAGTTAATGTTATTTTTATTTATAACTTTTTATTTGCGAGTAAGATCTTACAAATCATTTCTTAAAACAATCCTAAGGTGTGTCCTTGTTGTACCCACTTTATGGAAACAGATGAATTGAATGACAGGGAAGCTATAGGATTCCTCTGATTCATTATCAGGCCCCGGAAGCAGTGCTGGGGCCAGAGTTGCTTGACTTTATATCATCTTGTAAGTCATACACACTTCTGATTCTGGTACATTTTAGGCTTAGAATTATAATCAAAGTAGAATTATATACGTGGGTCATTTTGGATATTTTCTAAATTCTCATTTAAATTCAAATGGAGCAATTTTTTTTTTTAACTTTCTTATTTCTCAGTTACAATAAGCAAAGTTTGGTGATCTGTAAGATTTACCTAGTAATGTCATATTAGTCCTGATTTCTATCCTGGAACTCAGTAGTTCAGTTTTGTGTTTGGTTCTGAGTCAGGCAGTTTATTATTTCTGTCTGAGAAATAGTTATTGTTCTTTCAACTGTAGAAGGAAACATTCACTATAAAGCTCATAACTTTAGAGTTTACTTTAACCATAAGCCCGTGATCTTCATTTTGCTTTAATATTAGACAGTGACTAGTACATCAGCTGGTTTTCATATATTTTTGATTAGTTGGTTGACCTGCTACCTGCGCTGAGTTCAGCTTGTCTTCTACACCAAGCATACCAAAGACTTAGGGTGCTTTCTGCTTCTCTGGATTGAGGCCAGCTGTGATGGTTACATCCCAACACTAACTCTCTGATTCCAGAAAGAAGGCAGTTCCTTACTCTCTGCTATAATTCGAAACTGATGAAATTGTCTTCTCTATTAACTAGAAAGGCAAGTTAAGCAATTTCATGCCCCTCGACTTTCCAGCCTTGGTTAGCCTAGGTAGTGGATCTGTGTGTATAAATAATTGACCAATTTGCTCTCCCCACTGGAAGGTGTCTTGAATGATGTTATGTGTAGAGCTGATTTGGTTTCTGTCTCGTAAGTTTTTGGTATTACTGGGGGAAATGAGCTTCACAGTGGTAGAAAAGACAAGTGACTTATTTATTATGAAGGATATGCTTTGAATAAAAACAGATCAGATCACCTTTTATATTAGAAAAATAATACACACTGAAATTGTACAAATGAAAATAATTAAAATAAGCATTGTTATTTACTCAAATTTGAACACTTTAAGCAAGAACAGTGTGTAAGTACTCACCTGGGTGCCTGCTATATACAAAGTGCTAAGCTAGAGCCTGGCATTTGAGGAATGCCCATTCACTTGTAATATTAACCTAAGCAAAAATGTG